TGGGCAGCTGCACAGAAAGGTTCTGGGGCATGGACAGGGACCCCAGTGAAATCTCTGGCCCTTGTCTGTGCTGCTGTAGGGCAGAAGGCCAGGCAGGGAGGGTGTCCAGTCCAAAGCCCACTGGAACAAGGGACTGGGAAAGACCACATGGATGATAACCAGTTTGTTGCTGTTGCAGGCAATCAGCACTCAGTGCAGGGAGCATCTGTCCCACACCACCCACAAGCCACAACACACTCCTCAAAGTGTGCAACAAACTGAGATCATTAGTGGAAAACACCAAAAGCCACAGACTGCTGTGTTGTAAAGAGCAGAAGAGATGGAAAGCTCTGACTGTGGCCTGCAACTCTGGAAAGGCTGGGAATTTCCTTAAATAAAAATTCCCAGATGACCCAAGCATCAAGTTTGGTCATTGGTGTAAGTACCAAAACTGAGTACCTGATGTTATTTGTGTCCTTGGACAATAAGAGAACTGGTGACAAACTGGTGCCCACCCGTGCTGGAGTGGAGGGGCCAAGGAGAGCTCCTAGGGATCCGTTGGACTCACTGGTGCTTACAGCAACCACATTTCCATGCAGTGCTCAAGTGAAGGTGCTGCTTTTTTTCTTTTTTTCCCCTTTTTTCTCCTTTCTTCTCCTCTCTCTATTAATAACTGAACCCAGTGGCTCGTCTGAGTTATGAGGGGGGTTTACTGCACAGTTGCATGGTGGAGGGACCTGGTTTTCATTGTGTAGGGCGGGATATCAGTTTTAACCCAGAGGCAGTGATGTTATTTAACAGGTGCCTTAAAGGCATAGTGCTTATTTAATCACCGTCTCCATATCAACATTATGTAAATTGAAATTGCTTAGGTACGCAGTTAATTGTGAATGCTTTAGACATTTTTAAAGGCATAAGACAATACCTGAAGTTCCATGTTAAGAATATCCAGGTCAAAGGACACACATGTTTTTATTTTCTTATTTGAGGTATAATGTGTTCAAGGCAGATTTATGGCACAACCTTTGTTTATTGACTTGTACTTTTCCACATGAAACTAATGGAACATGACAGATGATATTTATGAGGCATGTGTTCTTGATTAAATCATGTTAGACATTAAAACCTGATAAAAGAACATATTTTAAAGGGTGGATTAATAGAAAAGGAGGCAGCATTGATTGGGGAGTTTACACGGAACAAGACACGTTAGTCTTAGACTGCGTATAGGTGAGATATGTGGTTATAAAACTTTAGAAGCTGAACAGAAAAAGATTAATAAGCTTTTGCTCTTTGGAAAGTTTGAGGTTTTTGTTTTTCTCCCTTTGTGAGCCACTGGCCACCTCATATTTCAGGTCTTTCGAGTGAATTTATTCAGTTCTGCTTAAGAACTTGTGGCCCTTTATGGCCTACTGCTTGTACTGCTGGCCCTACATGTGTCCTGTGTTCTTCAGGATTCCCAGTCAGCAGATCTGTGCGGGCAGCCTGTGCTGCTGCTAAAAACTGCTCTGTAAACATGTTCTAAATTCTGCTTACGTGGGTGCAAATTGGGTAAATCAGCAAGTCAGAGCTGCTTGTCCCACCTTGATATCTGGGGCTTTGCACAGAGTTCTGAGTAATAGGTTAGTGGGGAATCACCCTGTGTAGTATTTTGCATGTCAGCATAAGAGTATCCTCTAAGTATTTCCTGTGGAGAGCAATTAGAGGAATTTGGTAAACATAAGAAGTGGGAACAGCTTGAATTTGTTTTCTTAACTGAATATTGAGACTAAAGGGGAAGCAGATACCTGCATTCTGCTTTCAGTTACACAGGTGCAAACATGGAATATTTGCACTGATTTCAGCTACGCAGATGTATCTGAGGACACATTCTGGCTTGAGGCAGCATTTTCACTCCTGTGTTTTAACCTTCTGTGGCTGAATTTGTGCTAACCTGGATCCTCAAAGCTACATTTCCTCCAGAACAGACAAACTGCTGCATGAGAAGATAGCCTTGGGTTTTTAAATATCATATCAGCTTAGACTTGTAGAAGTAATGTCCACTGCAAATGTAAGAAAGTTTTAAGTTTTATAAGTTTTTATTACAACAAAGTAATTTCATGCTGTGGTGAAATATTTACCTCCTTCCTGTAACCTCTTCATCATCTTCATTGAAGGATTTGTGCCAAATTAATAGCTTTTTAATTTTAATCTGAAAGCATTGTCTTTGCTGCATGAGATACAGTAAAAATGTTTTAAAATGATAAGTTTCAAGTATTTAAATGAATAAACTGCTTCAGTATCTTCCACAGGGAAGGAATGCAAATTACAGGCATATTTATAGTTTGCTTTTGTTTGAACATTTCAGGGTAGAAACTCAAAATACTTGCAAAATGATAAAACTGTATACAAGAAATACATACATACTGTAAGAAATATGGTTTTCTGTGAATAGAGATGTTTGTATCAAGTGTTGTGTAAATTAACTTTTGAGTTCAAGCATGACGTTGCACCTCGTATCATCAGAGCAAGTTGTGTTTGAAAAGCTGTTAGCTAAAGTACACTCCTGCTTTCAGCAAATCCAGTGGAAATTCTTTTTCATTTTCTTTCCCCCAGCTTGCTCACTAAAACATCCCTACTTACCTGAGATTTTAGGATAAGCATTCTCTCCCATTAGAAATTAAAAATCTTCATAATGCAGATGTTTCCCTGTAGAGATTTCAGCCCTCCTTCCCCAAACATATGGCAAAAACCAAAACAACAGATGTTAAAGAATAAAAAGAAGAGAATAGAAAATAGCCCTGGAGGTAATATAATGTTGTTACATTAATATTTTGCCTCCTAAAGGATTTAGCAGAATTTAAAAGGCTTCAAAGATGGATTGAATAATAGATCAAAGACTTTAAAAAAAAAAGTGGATATATTGAGGCTGGAAAGAAGGGGAATGATTTTGTTGAGAACTGATGTAGATCAGAGATGCACAATGTTTGTGCAAATAAAAAGGGGGGACAAAATGCATGATATTGAAGAAAATGCAGCTTAGTCACTCAATCTGACATTAAACGTAAAAAAATACCACTTTGAGAAAGATAGAATTCTGGGTTGTCAGGTTCTCTTGGAAAAATAACACTTAGTCACCAATGAGCATGGCTGGTGATGATGGTCATCTCACTCAGGAAATGATAGACAGAGATGAGAAGAAATTCTTCCTTCTGAACATGGTGAGGCCCTGGCACAGGTTGCCCAGAGAAGCTGTGNTGAACTGTCATCACAAGGGCCTTTTTTTCCTTCCCCTTTCCTTTGGGTGGTATCTTTGATTTATATTTCGGTATGAGGCAAGTGATTTCCCTTTGCTTTTAAAGATGTTCAGTTACAGAACCCTGTCAGTTTGTTGGTTTATGTTATTGTGGACACGTTTCTTGAATTTGCTTGGGGTTTTTTGTTTTTTGTTGTTTTAAGAGCCAGTGAAATTCCATGATGCCTGTGTTAATTGAAAACAATCTGTAAGTTTTAAGGAGCAGCCAGTGTCCATCAGGTATTCTTCCACAATGCAGTAGCTGTCAGATGCCTCTTACCATCTTACCACTCCATAGGCTATAAGTAGAGACAGGATCTTGCTTTAGAGATTCATAGAGCTAAATGGCTCCTGGGAAGCCAAACAGTGACACCTGAACAATGCCATAAAAGGTGGTATTTTGTTTTGGGGTTTTTTTTAATGTACTTATCAGATCCGACCTGTTTGCTTTGAGAACTGGATGGTTATTTTCAAGCAAGATGAATGTGTGATGACTCTCCTAGACATTCCTTTGAAGGACCTGCTCCTGAAAGGAGGTGATGAAGAATTTATAGGAACTGTAGAACTACTGAAAAATCAAGCCTCAAAGTTTGCTTTACTAAAGATCTGATCCAGAGAGGTATTCAGACACCTAATTCCCATTGACGTCCGTGGAAATTCAGTGCCTAAACAGCTCTCTGGATCTGGTACTTAGTCTTCTGGCATTGAATATTCTCAGTTCATGCTTTCTGTGGGTCTCCTTTTAAAGGCATCTTCTGTGAGTGGTGCAATAGTATTAATTTTGATTCTTCCCATCGTTAGTTCCAGCACGTGATGCAGACAGTTGCCTAGAAAGCTGTGCCATGTGAAAATCTATTGTTCCACCAAGTGGTTGAGGCCTCATAGATGAGTAGTGGGGTGGGGAGTGACTCAGAGAAAATACACTGCACTTTTAATCATTTTGGAGGAGGATGGGGCCAGCCTTCAGGCACTGAGACTTTGTTGAGTGGGGAACTAGAGTGACATACTTGTTTGTTTGGATGAAAATCCAGGGAAAAGTGGGAGATTTTTGTTGGCGTTTCCTCCACTCAGCACTGATCTTATCGTGCTGGTTTAGTAGCAGAGCTCCTTTGGCTCCTTGCCAGGTGATACCATTGGAGTCTGTCTGAGATGTGCAAGATAAAAATCTCAGGGAATTACAAGTATTATGATTTTCCTATCAGACTGTTCTAATGTGCAGACTCTTCTGACTTCTTTCTTTTAAAAATCCTGTTATTGAAAGAAAAAGAAATGCAAGAGCTGGGAAGTGGGACCTGATGTTTATAAGGGCCTTGGGAGCAGCTGTAATTAGTGCTGGTTTTTGGAAGAGACTTGTTGCTCTGCCAGCAAAGGGCCTGGTGTTCAGCCAGGTTAGATGTAGCCTTGGAGTAAGCACTTGGAACCTGTGTACCATACACTGATTCTGTGTCTGGCACTGAGAACACGAAGCGTCCTCTCACTTAACATACAAAATAAAACACTTTGTGTACTCCCAGCATGTCCTGGGAAACTCTCTGGAGGGCTGAGTCGCTGCCCAGCCTTTTGGGCTGGTTCTCTAAACCCTGACTTGTGAAGGGCAGCACCAGGGTGCTGTGATGATGGTCACTCTTCTGGGTGCTGTCGGTCCTGTGCAATCGGCAGTTTCACTCTGGGCCCACAGGTCTGGTGGTACGGCCAGCTGAGAGGTGTGAGAGCGAGGACACTCCTGTGGTGACAGGAATCCCCTTGTCAGCCTCTTCCTTGCATTCACAGAGATTTACAACCACTTTGGACACGAGTGTGGGCCCATCTGCATCAAGAGATAAAACTGGACCTGCTGGAAGTAAGTGTGTGTGTATGTGATCACAGTAGTCATTAAGAAAAAAACCCAGATATTCTTTATTTTCTTTTTAAAGCTTCAAAATTGAACTCGTGAGTTAAGAGTTTCTTGTTTCTCAGATTTCACAATGCATGAAAGGAAAAGATTTGACTTTCCCGTGGACTCTAGAGCTGTTGTCAGTCCAATTTCCCTGGTTTTAGACAGGAATCAGAACTGTCCCACACTTTCCAGATCCGACGGAAGTCAGTGGGACCTCAGGAAAAGATTATTGCTTCCAGCAGAGCTGAATTTGAGTGAGTCACCTGGGAAGTCATCTGGGACACAATGGGCAGCTGCACAGAAAGGTTCTGGGGCATGGACAGGGACCCCAGTGAAATCTCTGGCCCTTGTCTGTGCTGCTGTAGGGCAGAAGGCCAGGCAGGGAGGGTGTCCAGTCCAAAGCCCACTGGAACAAGGGACTGGGAAAGACCACATGGATGATAACCAGTTTGTTGCTGTTGCAGGCAATCAGCACTCAGTGCAGGGAGCATCTGTCCCACACCACCCACAAGCCACAACACACTCCTCAAAGTGTGCAACAAACTGAGATCATTAGTGGAAAACACCAAAAGCCACAGACTGCTGTGTTGTAAAGAGCAGAAGAGATGGAAAGCTCTGACTGTGGCCTGCAACTCTGGAAAGGCTGGGAATTTCCTTAAATAAAAATTCCCAGATGACCCAAGCATCAAGTTTGGTCATTGGTGTAAGTACCAAAACTGAGTACCTGATGTTATTTGTGTCCTTGGACAATAAGAGAACTGGTGACAAACTGGTGCCCACCCGTGCTGGAGTGGAGGGGCCAAGGAGAGCTCCTAGGGATCCGTTGGACTCACTGGTGCTTACAGCAACCACATTTCCATGCAGTGCTCAAGTGAAGGTGCTGCTTTTTTTCTTTTTTTCCCCTTTTTTCTCCTTTCTTCTCCTCTCTCTATTAATAACTGAACCCAGTGGCTCGTCTGAGTTATGAGGGGGTTTTACTGCACAGTTGCATGGTGGAGGGACCTGGTTTTCATTGTGTAGGGCGGGATATCAGTTTTAACCCAGAGGCAGTGATGTTATTTAACAGGTGCCTTAAAGGCATAGTGCTTATTTAATCACCGTCTCCATATCAACATTATGTAAATTGAAATTGCTTAGGTACGCAGTTAATTGTGAATGCTTTAGACATTTTTAAAGGCATAAGACAATACCTGAAGTTCCATGTTAAGAATATCCAGGTCAAAGGACACACATGTTTTTATTTTCTTATTTGAGGTATAATGTGTTCAAGGCAGATTTATGGCACAACCTTTGTTTATTGACTTGTACTTTTCCACATGAAACTAATGGAACATGACAGATGATATTTATGAGGCATGTGTTCTTGATTAAATCATGTTAGACATTAAAACCTGATAAAAGAACGTATTTTAAAGGGTGGATTAATAGAAAAGGAGGCAGCATTGATTGGGGAGTTTACACGGAACAAGACACGTTAGTCTTAGACTGCGTATAGGTGAGATATGTGGTTATAAAACTTTAGAAGCTGAACAGAAAAAGATTAATAAGCTTTTGCTCTTTGGAAAGTTTGAGGTTTTTGTTTTTCTCCCTTTGTGAACCACTGGCCACCTCATATTTCAGGTCTTTCGAGTGAATTTATTCAGTTCTGCTTAAGAACTTGTGGCCCTTTATGGCCTACTGCTTGTACTGCTGGCCCTACATGTGTCCTGTGTTCTTCAGGATTCCCAGTCAGCAGATCTGTGCGGGCAGCCTGTGCTGCTGCTAAAAACTGCTCTGTAAACATGTTCTAAATTCTGCTTACGTGGGTGCAAATTGGGTAAATCAGCAAGTCAGAGCTGCTTGTCCCACCTTGATATCTGGGGCTTTGCACAGAGTTCTGAGTAATAGGTTAGTGGGGAATCACCCTGTGTAGTATTTTGCATGTCAGCATAAGAGTATCCTCTAAGTATTTCCTGTGGAGAGCAATTAGAGGAATTTGGTAAACATAAGAAGTGGGAACAGCTTGAATTTGTTTTCTTAACTGAATATTGAGACTAAAGGGGAAGCAGATACCTGCATTCTGCTTTCAGTTACACAGGTGCAAACATGGAATATTTGCACTGATTTCAGCTACGCAGATGTATCTGAGGACACATTCTGGCTTGAGGCAGCATTTTCACTCCTGTGTTTTAACCTTCTGTGGCTGAATTTGTGCTAACCTGGATCCTCAAAGCTACATTTCCTCCAGAACAGACAAACTGCTGCATGAGAAGATAGCCTTGGGTTTTTAAATATCATATCAGCTTAGACTTGTAGAAGTAATGTCCACTGCAAATGTAAGAAAGTTTTAAGTTTTATAAGTTTTTATTACAACAAAGTAATTTCATGCTGTGGTGAAATATTTACCTCCTTCCTGTAACCTCTTCATCATCTTCATTGAAGGATTTGTGCCAAATTAATAGCTTTTTAATTTTAATCTGAAAGCATTGTCTTTGCTGCATGAGATACAGTAAAAATGTTTTAAAATGATAAGTTTCAAGTATTTAAATGAATAAACTGCTTCAGTATCTTCCACAGGGAAGGAATGCAAATTACAGGCATATTTATAGTTTGCTTTTGTTTGAACATTTCAGGGTAGAAACTCAAAATACTTGCAAAATGATAAAACTGTATACAAGAAATACATACATACTGTAAGAAATATGGTTTTCTGTGAATAGAGATGTTTGTATCAAGTGTTGTGTAAATTAACTTTTGAGTTCAAGCATGACGTTGCACCTCGTATCATCAGAGCAAGTTGTGTTTGATAAGCTGTTAGCTGAAGTACACTCCTGCTTTCAACAAATCCAGTGGAAATTCTTTTTCATTTTCTTTCCCCCAGCTTGCTCACTAAAACATCCCTACTTACCTGAGATTTTAGGATAAGCATTCTCTCCCATTAGAAATTAAAAATCTTCATAATGCAGATGTTTCCCTGTAGAGATTTCAGCCCTCCTTCCCCAAACATATGGCAAAAACCAAAACAACAGATGTTAAAGAATAAAAAGAAGAGAATAGAAAATAGCCCTGGAGGTAATATAATGTTGTTACATTAATATTTTGCCTCCTAAAGGATTTAGCAGAATTTAAAAGGCTTCAAAGATGGATTGAATAATAGATCAAAGACTTTAAAAAAAAAAGTGGATATATTGAGGCTGGAAAGAAGGGGAATGATTTTGTTGAGAACTGATGTAGATCAGAGATGCACAATGTTTGTGCAAATAAAAAGGGGGGACAAAATGCATGATATTGAAGAAAATGCAGCTTAGTCACTCAATCTGACATTAAACGTAAAAAAATACCACTTTGAGAAAGATAGAATTCTGGGTTGTCAGGTTCTCTTGGAAAAATAACACTTAGTCACCAATGAGCATGGCTGGTGATGATGGTCATCTCACTCAGGAAATGATAGACAGAGATGAGAAGAAATTCTTCCTTCTGAACATGGTGAGGCCCTGGCACAGGTTGCCCAGAGAAGCTGTGGCTGCCCCATCCCTGGAAATGTTCAAGGCCAGGCTGGACAGGGCTCTGAGCAACCTGGGCTAGTGGAAAGTGTCCCTGCCCATGGCAGGGGGTTGGAACTGGATGATCTTTAAGGTCCCTTCCAACCCAAGACATTCCAGGTTTCTGTGAATCTTTCCCCAGCCAGGAAACGTTTCCCACACCACCAAGAACAGAGATTCTGTGTCCGTTCTGTCCTCAAGCTCAGCTGTCTTTCACAGCCCTCTCCTTGATGTTCAAACCGTGTCTCATTTGCTAAGTTCAGCCTTTCTCAGCAGAATTCATTCAGAGTTTTATCTAGTGGTGCTTGTGATAGGACTGGATCCAGAAACCTGCCTCTTGACTTGGATTTTTCTAAGTCTGTGTAAGTTGAAGGAAAACTGAACAGATACTGCTTCACTAGGAAAGTAGTTGTGCTGTTAATGACTTCCTGTCTCATAAAGGAATTGTCTTTGGAGTCAAAGTGTTGGTACCAGGCTGCCAGGGAGGAAGCCTAGAAGTTACAACTTTCCTCTAAACATGATTTCTACTGAAAAGGTTCTCTGCCTCCTCTGCTCTGTAATGCCATGCTTTGCCAGAGTGGTTGTTCCTCTCTGACATGTTGCTTTTTCTTTGCATGTTTTTTTTGGTTACTGCTGGTTTGTGTTTCTGCAGCTCTTTGCTGTGGAGGATGCAGACTGCTGGTGCTGGGACATTGCTGAGGCAAGCTGAACGGGCTGGACAGAAGGCCTTTAGAAGATGCCTGTAATAACAAAATCATAAATCAGGATCTCCCTCTTTGGTGCTTGGGAAGCAAGGGTGACCTACTGGCCGTGGTATTGGGTCCTTGTAAAGGCAACTCTGTGCTGCTAGGAGGCAGAAATTCCTGATCTCCCACCATTAGCGCTTACTGGGAGAATATCAAATCCAAAGGTTGTAAGAAGTTTGTGTTTAATCTCCATTTCTAACATAAATGGAAAGAAAAACATGTATTAGCTAATACTGATTAATTATATCCCTGTGCTGGTGGCCAAGAATGGGGGTATCATTCCATACAGACTATATACAACACGTTCTTTTTATGAATCAACTAGGGAAGGCATCCAAGCTCTTTCAGTGGGTAGGTGAAGGGTTTGGCTAGTTTTCAGGTTTCGAAGCCATCTGGAAAAATTTAGCCAAAATTATCTGCTCCACAGTCCCAAGATAAATCATTTTCCCACTTATACGATTGTTCCTCATTAAACCAGTTGGGTTAGGGCTGATGAAACCCTGATATTATAACTCAGGCTTTTACAGGGCATTTTGTTGATAGAGTTTTGGTGATGAGAGTGATACCACTGATATCACTCGCTGTTGAGAACAACAAAAGTAAAAGTTTCATGGAATGGAAATACTCCATGAAACAGAAACAACTCTGTTTTGATCTGTGTGGTTTAAGACATTGTCCTTTCTGACAAATGTTTTATCTAAATAGTTTAGTGTAGTGCTTATGTTTATATACTTATATATGAATATGTGCTAAATACAAATTACGTATAATATAAATAACTTTCTGTTATGAATCAAAGATACTGAAGTGTATGCGTGTTACTGCAACAAGAGCAATTTTGAAAAGCAGCAGCAAATGATTCTCTCTTAAAAAGCAGCTTCATTATATTTTTCATGTCTTCTCTGCATTCTTAAGCGAACTCTTGTAACTGAGAACTGCACCAGTTGACAGCATCACTGCTGCTTCGGAGGTGGATCAGGGACATCCCTGGGAATGCCTCACAGCCAGTGTCTGCAAGATTGAATCCTTAATTGAGCATTTTTATTTTGCCAACAAAGGTGATATCCTTCGCCTCCTAGTCCAATGGGATTGTTGAGCGTGTGGTGTCTAAGCCAGCTGAGTGACCTCTGTCCCTGGTTACTGTGCTGCAGTGATGTGGATGTGTGTCATCTCAGTTTGGGGCCTGACTCTGCTGTGGCTCATCCTTACAATCCTGAATGAGTCAAACACCTTCTCCCTGCCTTGGACTTGCTGCTTGCAGAGTGAGGCTGGTGATACTTAATCTGCTTTGTGAGGGGACTGAGGGGACAATATGTGGTCAAGAGCACTGCATATAAGTAACAATTGTAACC